CCTTCCTTCCTTCCTTCCTTCCTTCCTTGTCATTGTGGGGCTTGAACTCTGGGTCTAGGCGCTGTCCCTAAGCTCTTCAGCTCAAGGTGAGGAGGGCTCTACCACTTGAGCCCCAGTGCCACTTCCAGTTTTCTGGTGGTTAATTGGAGATAAGAGTCTCATGGACATTCCTGCCCAGGTTGGCTTTGAACCACGATCTTCAGATCTCAGCTTTCTGAGTAGGTAGGATTACAGGTGTGAGCCACTGGTGTCTGGCACTTTTTTTTAAAAAAAAGTTAGCATAGTAGTATGTTATAAAAAGGTATGAGAAATGTAAAAATGAAATCCTCCTCTACTTAACGAATATAAGCAAGTAAATGCAAGAGAGAGAGACAGAGACAGAACACAGAGAGAGACAGAGAATCAGAGAGACAGAGGCATTCTTATAATTTAATAGCAAGTGTTGTAGGTCTTTATGATGGAGTTCTGTGTAGAAAGTATAGGGGTGCAATTTGAACTTACTGTAGATGAATACCTGATGGTAATGCTCTTAATCCTTCTTAGTGTCACAAAAGCAGCAGTGAACTTTTCTTATCATCATAAATATTAGTTTAGAGTGATGCTATTGTTACTCAGTGGCTTTCTTTATCCCTTCCTTTATCATTTCAGACATCTTGTTTATAGTATAAGTTGCTTTTCAAGTTTTTCTTTGTAAAACAAATTGGAATATGTGTTAAATGCTCCAAAAATATTGAAGCCTATGACTTAATAAACTTGAAGAAAATTTCTCTATAGAAGTGATCTAAATGAAGAATAACTTTATACATTTGTATTACTGTTATCAGTGATTGAAAAATAAAGGAATATTAATGTCTTTTATGAAAAATTCCTGCTTTCCAACTGTAGTTACAAACTTGGACTCTCTTAAAAATAAAAATTTAATAGATTTGGTTTTTTTTAATAATTTTTTTATTGTAAAGATACTATACAGAGGGTTACAGTTACATGAGTGAGGTAATTACACTTCCTCTTGAACATTGTTACCCTCTCCATTGTTTTCCCCCTACCATCCCCTCCCTCCCTCCCTTCCCCAGGTTCTTTTTTTTTTTTTTTGATTGTGATTAAGTGATTACATAATTTCCGGAAATTCACAGTATTGTGGAATAATGATGCTCATTTAAAGTCAC